TGGTTGCACCTCGTGTGAAATGGCGGATACCGGAAGTACGGTGTCGCCCTCGGCCCAAAACCCGTATGTGTGTGTGAAAGAATCCGAATGAGACCCACAGCTATGCTAGCAGAGCTGTAGACAATGCTAACGTGCTAATGATTAGCAGGTTTACAATGGTATTATCTGACGCTGTGTCTCAGTTTGTGTTCTTCTGCACTAACATTTTTATTGATTGAGTAAGGCAAAAAAGAGAAAAAATAAGGTGTACTCATAACGATCAAACTTACCCTCAAGGAAGAAAGCAGTGAACATGGTGGCCGAGGAAGTCGCAGAGGTTTACCGGAATACAAATTCTAAGTGAGCGAACAAGAAGGCAGATTTTTTGGCCGGCAACAATCACCATCTGATATTGGCGCGAACGCTCTGTCCACTAGCAATTTACCACTGAAAGGAACAAGCTTTCAAATGCGGCGATCATCATTTTTGGTAAGCAGTACCCTGTCAAAATGAACACAGTAGGCAAGTAATTACACAGTGTGTATGTTCTACATGGAAGTGTGCAAACGGAATAATCCAACATTGGAACACAGCAATATTTTGGCAATTTGTGCTAGCATTTGCTTTTTTAGCATAAAACTCATTGTACAGCTGAGTTTATGGGAAGTCATTAGTTCTTTAAGTATATCACTATGAACCAAAGTATTGGACAAATACAGTTAGGGATTACAAATGTTATGATTTCAATGTATCCTAAGGGGGACGTAGCGAAAGTTCCAATATCAATACAATTCAATATTTGTGGAGATATTCCACTCAAAACTAAAAGGAAACGTCACGATGGCGATAGAGAAGAAGTCAGGGCATCAATAGGAGTTATTCTCTTGGGATTACGAATTCCTTTGCAAAGTATAAATGCAATCTATCAAATGGCTGTTAAGAAATGAAGACAATTAAGGAGTGTCCGACTAACAGGCATTCCTTGTCAAACACAAACAATAGGACAAAAGGTAGGAATGTTCTGTGTCTACAGCCAAATGAAAGGTCAGTCAGATAAGAAAAGGGGGAAAATATAGAAAAAGGCGAATCAGGTCCGAGGGGCTTTTTAATTAAATATAATAAAAAACATCAAGAATGCCTCTAGGGAACAATGAAAGATGGTTAGACAAAGTTAAGAAGGGAAAGAGTAAAGAAACCGAGTATAAGAGAAACTATACAAAATAAAAGTAAAAGCAAAAAGGATGGCGACGACAAGTCCTGTTGTTGCGAGCGATAAACAGCAGAAGGAGTAAACAGATGGAGAAAAGGGAAAGGGGAATTTTTCAAAAAAGCAGCACATGGTGAATTCAGTTCCAACACTCATCCAAAAGAGCACAAGGCTCAGATGAGAGAAGTGTGGTCCAGCAGCAGCAAGTCAAAATCAGTCACTGTGATCCAGAGCAGCTACACACCCAATCCACAGGGAAACTCAGTGTGTGTGTGGCGTTCATGGACCCTCTCAGATCCAGCTCCTTCCCCCAACTGTCACTCTCTGAGTATTGCAAAGCGAATATGTTTGTGTTTTTATATAATTTATTCATGTGTGTCTCGGTTTGTCTCTGAGAATCTAGCACAGTGTTTGGTTGGGTTTGTCCCTCTTGGTTCATTTTATTTTCCGCTTGTCTGTCTGAAGAGTATGTTTGTGCAGGAGTACCGTCACTGTCAAACTTTTGAACACCGTCATTCCACCTCAACAAAACAAAGGGAGAGGATCAGTTCTAAAAACGAGGCGATAACATCTCTACTGTGGGTGTTCAAAGAAAGCTTTTGAAAATGTAGTAATGGTGTAAGAACAATGTTGTTTTAAAAAAAAATCTGCTTTATCGATGAGTAACAAATGCGTCACTTCTGGGCAAAAAATACGGCTCCGCCCACTTTTGGGGGAAAACAGCGCTGTCAGTTGATTGGTCAATACAAATTCTGAAGTTTTTGCCAATCCGATCAGAAATGTAAGAAAACCGGAGATTTTTGTATCTTCAAAGAGCCCGATTACAACGGCCGGACAGGCAAACAATTACATTAAATCATTGGAAATCGACGATCGGGCTCGATATATGGTTAAATATAACAGTAGGCGATCGATGTCCATAGATGAGAGTAACATCTACGTCACTTTACAGCCCCGCCCACTTTTGGGGAAACCAACGCTGTCATTTGAATGGCGATCGAGCCTGAAGCCACAGAGCTCTTCTTTTACTGTCCTTTCTTCTTAGAGGAAGTACAGAAACACTGAATTCTGGATTTGTTTTAATGTTGAGGTGCAATAAACGACACAGCAGCTTTTTGGCATGATAAAACTATTATTTTCCGCCTCGCTCATGAGAGTAACAGCTGGCGAAATTACGGCCTCGCCTACTGATTTTAATTTAACCATATATCGAGACCGATCGTCGATTTCCAATGATTTAATGTAATTGTTTGCCTGTCTGGCCATCGTAATCTGGCTCTTTGAAGATCCAAAATTCCACGGGTTTAAAAAATGTCTGATCGGATTGGCAAACAATTTATATTGACCGCCATTCAAATGCGTTGCTTTCCCCCAAAAGTGGGCGGGGCCGTCATTTTCGCCCGGAAGTGACGTAGGTGTTACTCTCATCTATAGTGGAAAAGTGAGGGACAGTATGTGCTAGTTACAGTAGAATTGTGTGGCGTCTAGAAACATAGGGCATTTACTTAAGGCGAAATTGAAAAAGTATATTAGCGATGTTTATTTTTTGCCAAATCTGACGGGCTTGTTCCCATCTATTACCGTTCAGTCAGACAACTCTCGTGTTTATTTGATATGTTTATAAGAAGCAGCATATAGTTTGAGTTTGGCTTCTAGCCTCATCACTCCACAAATGTACATAGAACATTGAGTGATGATTAGGTAAATCAACGCGGATGAAAATGGGCGCAACGTGACAATAATGCCAATTGATTCCATTAGTATTAACAGTACAGTGCACCTTAGCTGTGACAAAATTAACCATACAGCGAGGTTTCTTTTAAAGCACATATCAGTTAAAAAAAATAAAGAGTAATTATCAATGTTTATTTATATAGCCCAATATCACAAATGTTACATTTTGTACAGAATATCAGTATGACAATACGACACCCTCTATCCTTAGACCCTCTGTCCTTAGACCCTCTGTCCTTAGACCCTCACATCGTACAAGGAAAAACCTCCAGAGAAACCCCACAGTTTAAAGGGGAACATGGGAGAAACCTCAGGGAGAGCAACAGAGGAGGGATCCCTCTCCCAGGACGGACAGACGTGCAATAGATGCCGTGTGTAAATCGAAGAGATAATACATTTGCAACATAGGTAGTCCAAATGTTTGTAAATGCATGTGTGTATAATTACATTTCTTCTTCGCAAGGAATGAGACGAGACACAAACAAAGGAGAAGTGGGTGTCATCATCACTGATGAATGATTTCTATGCATTACCACATATTTCCAGCCACAACGTCTTCAAGTAATTACACTGAAAAACTGAAACAGTGACTTTAATTAAATGTATTATGTCAACAGATTTCACATAAGGTTAGTTGAAAGCAATACTATCAAGTTGAACCATGTATTTAATTGCTTTCAACTAACCTCATACAGTGATGTGAAATCTGTTGACATAATACATTTATTATGTCAACAGATTTCGCAGCCGCCTAGGGCCAGCCGCTTTCGCAGCGGCTGGCCCTAGGCTCTGCAATACTTTGCCCCTCCATGTGAGGTCGGCCCAGACCCTGGGGGGTTTTAAATCAACACTTAAAACTCACTTTTTCTCTTTGGCTTTTGTTTAATTATCTATTTATTCATTTATTTATTTATTCATTTAGTTCTTTATTTTAATATTTATAACATAACATAGGATTTCATAAAGTATTTTTAAAATAGTTTATACATTATTCAAATATAGGAATAGTAGATAGGATTACTTAAAATATAGTACCTTATATTCAATATTTTTTCCCTTTAGACCCTTGCGGTTTATTCTTAAAAATCCTTACCCTTACACACCCCCCATTTCCCCTCTGCTGGTCTATGGCCTTGTAGAGGGTAACGGGGTACAGAGTCGCTTAGATAAGCGGGGGAGTGCATCTGACGAAGAGATAGGTTGTTGTGCTCCCTATCTCTGTTTCTTATATCTAATAGAACTGCTCGGGTCTTGATAGATTGAGTGGGGAAGTTCATGAGATCTTTCTAGAGGGTTATCAAGAATAACTTTTATCCAATGACCTTTCCCCTCTCTGTCTGTGTTTGTGTATTCTCTTGTTCTGATTAACCCAGCCAAATCTTTTTTCTTGTTTTGTATCTATATCCACGCCGGGATCCGGAGTCGAGGCTGATCCTCTTGCTGTAGTCCTGTGTCTTGGATCCTCTATCCTGAGTTCTGGATTAAGTCGTGGACTTCGGGTCGTGGCTGAACCTGTCTCTGCGGTCCTGCCTTGGGTCTCGTCACGCTGCTTCCCTGATGGCTTCCACAGGATTGTAGCTGACATCCTCGTGGATTCATCTTCTTATTACAGACACATGCATTTCCTAACATTCGGTCTATATGCTGTAAAATGTATTATCTCTTCGATTTACACACGGCATCTATTGCACGTCTGTCCGTCCTGGGAGAGGGATCCCTCCTCTGTTGCTCTCCCTGAGGTTTCTCCCATGTTCCCTTTAAACTGTGGGTTTTCTCTGGAAGTGTTTCCTTGTACGATGTGAGGGTCTAAGGATAGAGGATGTCGTTTTTCTCATACTGATATTCTGAACAATCTGTGCTGTTGTATTTGCTGTAAAGTGTCTCTACTGTAGGCTATTTTTATTTTATGTACAGCACTTTGGCTCGACCAAAAATCGTTTATAAATGTGCTATATAAATAAAACTTGATTTGATTTGATTTAATTAAAGTCAATGTTCCAGTTTTTTTAGTAACAGATTGGGAATGAACACATTGTCAAGAAATCATTTTGAATGTGGCTGTGAATCTGTCTCTTCCTACCTCTATCTGCAGCATGGTGATGTCCTCCTCCGACTTTTTCCTGAGGGGCAGCTCCTTCTTCTTCAGGTCGATCCGTCTCTCCTCTTCATTAATCTCCAGCTGTAAATCCCTCGTCTCCTTCTCCAGGGTCTCCAGTGTCATATAACCCTTAGTTATGGCCGCCTCCTGGATGTTCACCTTTTCATAGGAGCTGAATAACACCTCTTCGTGCTCCAGGAGCTGAACGCCACTGTCGGACACACACACACATCAGGACACATGATTTGACATTTGTAGTTTAGATCCTCCTGGCAGCTAATATCGGTGTAAAGTCGTGAACATACAGCGAGTTGCGGCGCTGTATGGCTGTTTCCTGATTCCTGTTTGTTTCCAGAAGTGCCTGCTCCTGGACGTTGATCATTTCTGTGAGTTTCATCAACTCCAGTTTGTCGTCCTCATACTCCTGAGTGATCTGACGGTGTTTCCAGGCAACCTAAAAGATAATACAAATGGTGTGATATGTTTTTAGACCCCATAAGACGCAGGGAACATTCATGGTTGTTGGAACTTGCACTGCGCACATATGAGCAGTGGCTCAGTCAGTAGGGGCTTGGACTGGGAGCTATAGGGTCGCCGGTTCAAGTCCCAGACCAGACCTAAAATATGGAGTGTGGACTGCTACTTGGAGGGGTCCCAGTTCACCTCCTGCCCTGCCGTGGTGCCCTTGAGCAAGGCACCGGACACCCCCCTTCCCCCCTCACTCCCATTGCTCCCTGGGCGCTGTACAATAGCTGCCCACTGCTCCTAGTACTAGACTCTTGGTACTAGGATGGGTTAAAAGCAGAGAACGCATTTCACTGTGTGTGCTGTGTGCTCTGCATGTGTGACCATTAAAGAGGGTTTTATCCCTCCCAATTCTAATTCTACCGGAGTTTAAATGGAATGATTTCATTTGATAATGCTGAACTACAGAAGCATATTAGTTCCTTATGTACAGCCCCATCCATTAGAAATCCTTCTTTGTGTATAACTACTTACTAAAGGACGATATTATCCATCATCATCATGCTCAATGACTTGTATCCCAAGCTTGAAGCAGCGTAGCTTAGAATTCAGTCTAATCATTGAAATAAGCTTTATTTGTATAGTTACAATTAAAATGTGGTGTAAATACTTGTCTTTAGCATCCTTTTTTAATGCTAAATTGATTCTTAAAAATACTTGTTTTTTGTTATCCTTATATATTTATTTTTTTACATACTTTGCAACTTATTTTTTTAGATGATTTATGTTCGCACCTCCAGATACCAAAGCTAATTCCTTGTATGTGTAAACTTACCTGGCAATGAACTTGATTCTGATTCAATGTATCTGTTATCTGAACCCTTTTTCATCCTAAACATTAGTTTATAACAATATTGGCTGCGTTTTCACATTATAACTGAAAAAAATCCCATTAAAACAAGACAATTAATATTCTGATAGCACTTAAAGTTTCTTGTTTACCGTGACGAGTTCATATACAAATCCTTTTTAGTTTTCTCTGGTGCAGCCGAAATATGCTGCTATAAAATGACCTTAAATGTAGGGTAGGTAAGAATAGAGAAACCAGCTCGAGTGCGCTAGAATTTGAAAATACGCAACCGAAAAAATCTGCCACTTCCTTACAGAGCCCCTCCTCCAGCACACACGAACGCGCACATGACCAATGAGGGCACGAGATAAGTTTGTGCACAGATGGAAGGCTGACAGGCAGGTAGGCCATCCAGTTACTTTAGCCGGCCGGCCCAGATGATTGGTCGTGCTTTTTACAGTTCTACGGCTTCCACAGATGACATTTTTTTATGTATTTATTGTCAAAGCACTTAAGATATTCATTGCTATCGGGATGTTAAGAGCATTCCATGGAATAAAACAAAAAGTGAATTACCTACCCCACCTTTAAAACAACAGAGAACAAACGTAGACAGCTCTTATGTTCACAAACCGTTATATACTGAACTGTGAGTGACTTTCTGTTTTCAGTTTTATGAAACACACAATGAAAAATACTCGGGAAACTGGATGTGGCTTTCCCGCATTAAAAAGGGCTCTTGAACTTTGTTTATGACAGCTATAGAGTTGAGCTCACTGCGAAATCATTTTAAACGACAGTGTTTATGTGTGTGTGTGTGTGTGTGTGTGTGTGTGTGTGTGTGTGTGAACCTTGGAGATGTCATTGTTCAGTTTGTCCCTTATTTTGGAGCTGTTGGAGAGCCTCATACGAGCCTTAGTGAGTGATCTGGGATGAACAAACAAAAAGATATATCATAAAAGTAATAACAATTATTGGGATTTCAGATATATCATATTATCAACCTTTTAGTCATTACAGACGGCGCATTTGTCACAGCTATTACAGTATTTGATTATGGGATGTCTATGCCTTCTATTCTGCATTAGTCCCCCTCTTTCCTCACCGGTTCTTGATGATGACAATGGATCGTTGGATCTCCGTTTCATTTCCCAGCACTTTAATCTGCTCCGTCAGCTCCGCGATGGTCTGAGAGGCGATCTGCTTCAACTTCACGTACTTATTCTTCTCCTCTGTAATCATGTTGCACAGTTTACAGTACTGTAGGACTCTAAAGGAGAAATCACAGATTAGAACAATGAGCCCATTCTAGATCTACTGTACAACACCTGGTGCCTATTTTGACTCAATGTATAGTTATTTGTTCCTTTTGAACATGAACTCAGCCGGTGATCGCTGTAAAACACATTGAGTGAGTGAGTTTGTAATAGAGTATGTCTTAATCTTAAAGGTCACCTATTATGCAAAATCCACTTTTTCACGTTTTTTTATACATAAACATGTGTCCCCTCTGCGTTAAGAGATTCTGAAAGTTTCATGAAAAAATATTTGCACACTTTTTGTCCTGATCTATTTATATGAAAACCTGTCTGAGCTGATCAGATTTTGGCCACTTTATGATGTCATAACGATGTGTTGGCTTGTGTAACCATTAGCCAATCACCAACCAAGGTAACCCCCCCCCCCCCCCCCCCACCTTATCACCTGAATCTCCTCCTAGAGCACCATTGAGTTCTTTGTAACCAAATATCTCTCAGAGGGGCGTGGGGAGGGGCTCCTTATTTTCATCTAAAGCAACAGACAGAGAATCAGCACTTTGGAAACAGGGCTGAAACAGAGGGGATTATGGGTAATGTTGCAATGATCTGTTTGGTATTACGAGCCAAACACTTCAGAGACATGTTTTTTATATATCTGAGACCTATAATATATTGATAAAAAAATAGGGGACCTTTAATATCCAATGACTGTTTTTCAAAGGCTGACTCTAGGTGTACTTTAAATAAAGTTTGGCAGCATCAAAGTGTTAAAAATCTTGATAAAAGAAAGTAAACATGGTGAACACTTATTTGTTTGTTCATCACACATAATTAGTGGATCAAAAAGACGTTTCATGCAGTGTGATTTTTTCAACCGCTCATGTAAGACATGTCAGCAGTGATTGCTAAATATGCTAACGTTTTGTCTATTACAACTCCAGAGGGAGGGTAAACACCATCATCATCCTGCCCTGTTTTTGCTCCGCTAGATGCTCGGGGCGGATCCACGTCAGACTGCTGGGGAGCAAATTGAATGTCTGCTGTTGTGCTGGGTGCTGCCAGATGCATTAGACTGTGTCTGAATACTGAAGTATGACCAATTAGGAAGTTAGGGCTCTTTACCCAGACAACATGTGCAGATGTCTGAATTAATTGCGATTCCAGCTCAGATCAGAGGAGCCAAGCAAATAACCAGGGATACAATTACCACCCCTAGTGTACATAGGAAAATGCAGGGATTAAGCTTATTTTAAAGTGCACCTATCATGCTATTTTTAGGCAATAGCATAGGTCTCAGATATATACAAATATATAAAAAACATGTCTATGAAGTGTTTTTCTCAAAATACCAAACAGATCACCCATTGTAGCCATGCCTCATATCCCTCTATTTCACTTCCTGTTTCAAAAGTGCAGATTTTGGGTATAAAGCTTTAAGAAAAAAAATGTAAAAAAGAAAAAAGCAGGGGTCTGAGCTCATGCGGGACCCGGCAGCTACTGTCTAAACTAAATGCTGCCGTGATGAAACGCCATATCATGGATTATCAAGGATTATTTCTGAAACAGTCTGAAGCTCAAAGGCTTTGTCTCTTGCCGGTTATACCACAAGGTGAGTTCCTTTTTATTTCCTGCTTCTTCACACACATGCTCTCCAGTACAGGTTAGCTCTGAGTGTTAGCGATGCTAATGTAAACACCGACCATATGAGGTCCAAAACAGTCGGGCATTGTTTCTGATAGCAACGTTTCTGATAGGGCCGTGGGTCCACATTTCAGATATTACGTCATATCGGACGCAAATCTGGATCAGCTCCGTTGTAGCCCCATTTTGAGAGATTTGGGTACGGAGGAAAAGAGAGAGGGTTTTATTTTCGCTGCGTGAGTTCCCCGACACACCGGGACACATATTTATGTATAAAATACATCAAAAAGTGCATTTTGCACGATAGGTCCCCTTTAATACAGGGATGTTCAAACTTTTCTCGACGAGGGCCGTAATACAGACAAATATACGAAGGGCTGGGCCACTCACTAGAGGTATATTGCTTCAGAAGTTCAGTTATAAATTAGCAAAATCAATCAAATGTAGTTAAATGATGCTTGTGAGTGTTGGCAGCTCATCCCTTAAAACAGAAGCCTCAGATTGATTATAATAAGGAGAAATAGGAAGGGTGTATTTCAAGCTTGTTATGTAAATAAGTCATTGGGCTTTTTGCTTATCAACTAAGATATGTTAGAAAATGTTTCCAACTTGAATTGACTGAATTTATTTGAAAAGTGGTCTTATTAACACATGAATACTACTGTGTAATATATTTACATTTATATTTAAGAATATAAGACAAGCACAAGTTTCATTTGTGGGCCATATTCCATTATACTTTTTAAATTTGCTGACTGATTCAAAATGGTGGGCGGGCCGCATTTGGCCCCGGGTCGTATTTTGGACACCCCTGTTTTAATACTACCTTCTCATTAACCAAAATCCTCTTTATCTCATCATACATGTTTATTGAAAAGCTGGCTGACAAGGAAAAAGAAGGTAAAACAACCTGCGCTGTAGCGTAGCATTCAGCTTCTTGTGGTCCATGATGATCTGGTCTTTTTCTCGCAGCTCCGCTCGGATGTGCTGGTTCAGCTGCTGCTGATAGAATTACAGCGCTAAAACTACAGTATCAACACTTCTGTGTGGGTGTGGATATGTGTGTGTGCGCTCAGAAACAACACACTTCAAATCAGATTGGTGGTTGTGCATTTTTCAATGTTCTGACAGTGTGAGTAAATGAAGAGAGAGAGAGAGAGATGTTTCCTAAAAACATTTATTTTGGAGTCTGTCATTATCTGGTGAGACACCTAAATAAGCTTTAGTCACATGGGGCATTGTGTATGAAATGCAGCAACTTCTGATTGAAATAGACATACAAATAAGATGAAGCCAACTTTAAAGAGGCTCTATCATGCTTGTTGGGGGTTTTCTATAGGTTTGTGTGCATGTAAATGGTCTACAAAGCTTAAAATCCCAAAGTTCCCTCTATAGTGTATTAGAAAAGCAGCAACTTTATGATTTCAGGAGACATGAAAAATGGGATGAAGCCAACATTAAAAGAAAATGCAGATGTCCACATTTAGTTAAACTATAATGTGCTCTTCTCTACATCTTCTTCAAATACTTTTTAGAAGATCTCATTGTGATGACAGTAATATTTTCAGGGCAGTAAAGCCATTTGCACTCTTTGAAATTATGTTTTTGTCAGTTTTAGTTTCTCTCCTTTCAAAGTAAAATATAAACCTGCATTCTGTTCCTCTTTGATGTGTGTGTGTGTGTGTGTGTGTGTGTGTGTGTGTGTGTGTGTGTGTGTGTGTGTGTATGTGTGTGTGTGTGTGTGTGTGTGTGTGTGTGTGTGTGCGTGCGTGCGTGCATTGCACCTCAGCCCGAAGCAGATCTCGGTGCTTCTGGCCCCTCTCCTCCACTTTGATCTGCGTCAGACAGCTGAGGTTGTGGAGTTCTTCTCGGAGGCGGTTTGACTCCCGCAGCAGATCCTGAATCAGCCCAGACTGCTGCGTCTTCTGGCTCTCCTCCTCAGCTACTGATAGCTGGTTAGTGAACACATTTAGTGGCGTTTTCAGGTAAAAAGATATCACAAGTCGACGGCAATTAAGGGTCACCGAGACAGGATAGGACAGCAAAGCATACTACGAGGAAGATGGATAGAGAATGAAACTTTTTTAAAGTAAATTCAGACCATTCCCCAAAGGTATTATTAAACTATGTGACAAAGGATGAAATAAAAATGCTATGTTTCACCACTTTGCTTTCTGAATTTGAAAATAAGGACAACAAAAATATATAGATATACAAAAAATTAAATATTAAAAGGTTGTTTACTTCAAATGGTTGTCAATTAAGTACTACAACGTATATTAAGAAAATTATATAAATATATTATATAATTATAAAAATATTATAATATATACTTTTAGAACACATTTATATAAACAATAAAAAACGATATTGAAATAAAATATAATATAAATAAAGTGATATAATAGCCACAAATATATATATTAGTAATAGGGCTGCTTCAGTTAGTTGCATTGCAAGCTTGTTATGATAAAGTGTCCACACATGTTGCTCCCACCTGTCGCCCAAAGCCAACTTTGAGAGCATCGACCTCTTCCTGAAGCGCCATCCGCTGCTGAACCCTGGCCTCTTGGTTAGGAACAGCATCTAACTACAAGTCAAAATGTAAAGTCGGAATAAAAAGTCTGGTAAAATGTTCATAATGGAAAAAATCTGCTGTGTGTCAGCGCTGAATCTTAGTAAAGAACTGTAGAAATGTATCATCATTTAGTTCCCTGGTTGTACTTCATGAGTTTACATACCGAGGAATAAAAGACCATAACGATCCCGTAAAAACTTGAAATCAAATTCAGTCAGTGCATATTGAATCAAACATTAAACATTGATTACAAAATAATTAATACTATATATCAGAGTTTCTCCGAGGCCTCTCTGATAGCCGTTGGATCCAGTGACACTGGAACTATTTTTCTCAGAAACTAATGAAAAATTAAAGTCTCCGGGCTCGTCTCTGCCGGGTTTTCAGGCCTCCTGTTGAGCGGTATGAGCTGCACTGCTCCATATTAAAAAAATGTTAGTCCATGCAGGAATAAGAAGGCTAAATCAGAGTTCGTCCTATTTGAAACAAGTGTGACACATCCTCGTCTAAACGGCCTTTAATGATGAGTCATTGTTCACGTGAGAGTCGTTAAAGAATGCCGAATTATTGGAATTGAATGAATCTTATTGCTTTGTTTTTAATATTTCCTCAATGCATGAATTCCCCGATGTGCCATTGTGATTTCCTTTCATATTGTTGTGCGTCGGTGACTCGTGCTGACACATTTCCCATGACTCTTTAAAAACTGTGAACATCAGTGAAATGACAGGAAGCTCAAGTATAAAAATGAGTTTCTGTTGTAACACAGATTACGATTTAATGTGCCAATAACTGTCAATGTGACATTTATTATCAGAATTTTCCGAAATGTGAATGTAAATTAGCCTTTTTCTTCGAGCCAGTTTTCCAGACCAAATGCCAAAAAGAGGAGAGAAAAAACATAATATTGTAAAACATAAAAAGTGTTTCAACATTGTGAGATTTACTTGTAAATTCCAAATATGTATAAGCTCCAATAAGGTTGTGAATGTGAAAAAAACCATCTTAACTTCTTTGAAAAATAACTTTTAGCTTCTAAAATGTGCCAAAAACAAAACAAATTATTCAAAACTCATTTAAAAAGGAACACAATCTGCTGGTCACCTGAGATTTTACATCATTGTAGATGGATTGCGTGTGCTCTAGCTGCTCATTGGCCAGAGTCAAAGCCTGCTCCATCCTCTTGAGGGCTTGTGTCTGCCTGCAGAGAAACAAAATTACCTTTTAAATATGTATCCGTGTGAAATAAGGCTTTGACTCCTACACAAAATTCAGAATTAGCCTAATTTTATTTGCATTCCTGTCAAATATTCTGGAGTTCATGCTAGAATGCAGTTGGAACAAATGCTCTGATCTTATCAAATATGTAAAATGTCTTGAATAGTTGTCAAACGTAAACACTGACACTTCACAGAGTAGTACAGCAACACTCTCACATAGCCAAAACTTCACTTTCGGGCCTGAGAGTGCCTTTATTGGCGATACAGTGTTTAATCAGGGAGATAGAGAGGAATACATTGCCTGAAACCTTCCCTGTGTACTTGGCAGCGGACACTGCATGTGGGCCGCCAGCTCTAATCAGCAATGGTCCAATGGAGCTCATTTTTCCACATCAATCCCTACCTATTTTTCTCCTTGAGCTGCACAGATTGGCTCTCATACAGGTGCTTCCTGTCGCACATGATATTCTGCAGCTTCATTTCCAGGATACCTCTGGTGGGGAGAATAATAATAAGCATGAGAAACACACAGCAGAGACCTCTCCTGTCACTCAAATCTTTGTTGCTGAGGGCGATTTATACTGAGTGAAATTAGACATAAATATTTATGGGGGAAGTCTTAAAGGGGACCTATCATGCAAAATGCACTTTTTGATGTCTTTTATACATAAATGTGTCTCCGGTGCGTCGGGAACTCACAAAGTGTCAGAAAATAAAACCCTCTCTCTTTTCCTTCGTACCCAAATACCTAAAAACGGGGGTACAACGGCGCTGATCCAGATTTGCGTCCGATATGACGTAATATCGATAATGTGGGCGGGCTTTACACCCACAGCACTATCTGAAAGTTGCTATCAGAAACAATGCCTGACGTGTTTTGGACGTAATATGGTCTTTGTTTACATTAGCAAGCATCGCTAACACTCGGAGCTAACCAGTACTGGAGAGAGTATTTTTAAGAAGCAGGATATAAAAAGGAACTCACTTTTGTAGTAAACCCACGAGAGAGAAAGCATTTGAGCTCCACACTGTTTCAGAAATAATCCTTGATGTGGTTTTGAACATGATATAGCGTTTAATCACCGCAGCATTTAGACAGTTTTTGCCGGGTCCCGCATGAGCAGGCATAAGCTCCGCCCCCTCTTTTTAAAATGTTTGTTTTAAAGCTGTATACCCCGAATCAGCACTTTAGGAACAGGTTTGAAATAGAGGGATATGAGGCATGCCTAGAATGGGTTTGGTATTTTAAGCAAAACACTTCATAGACATGTTTTTTATATATTTGTATATATCTGAGACCTATGCTATTGCCTAAAAATAGCATGATAGTGACCTTTAAGATAAAAGTTGGAAACATTTTTTAAATACTATATAGAAGTTCCACAATGTTTTATTTTTATAATCACCTTTAGTAGGTGACACTGGATCATTCTTGAAGAGGGAAAAGAAGATTATGCCATCCCAGAATTCTTTGCAGCAGAAACATTTAGGCGCGCATCGTTTGTTCATGAAATCAACAAATCGCTTTGTTTCACTTTTAGCTAATATTCCAACCTTGGTAATGAAGAAATACATTTTTTGTATGAAACCTCATGGTGAGAGAACACACGGGGAAGTATCAAGGATGCTCTTATAGTAGTCCATCTTTGGAACATTGACATTTCTTCACAGCAAATCCATTTTCAATAAGGTCTGCAGTCGCATCATAGCCTCGTGTCATTTCAGGTACTGCGGATAGTAAATATTAGATGGAATTTTTGTTATTTAGGGTCTATCTGGTCTTTCAACTAATCAAAGTGCTTATACACAACATACACATTCATATACTGATGTCAAACTGCTCACCGGGATTTCATTCTAAGTCCCATTCAAAGGCGTTGTTGATATTATGAAACTAAAATAAACTGTATCTCAAAGAAGTCTATTTTCCTGTATTCCTGAGAAATTGAAGGGTATTTGTTCATCATCAAAGGGAAAGCCATAGCTAATTGGGGCAATTCAGTGTCTTTCCCATGGACATTTGTCACGTGACATCAAACTGTCGATCTTCCATTAGTGAACAACTTATTCCTCTTGAGCCAAAACCACTCTTTTCAGTTGTTTTAGGTTGTCATATGTCCATGAGTACTTCTTCATATCTTCTCATGACTGTGTGATGTCTTTAATTGAGGTCAATGAAAAGTGGTCAGGATCAGACTTTCAATGTTCTACTATTTGACCTCAGCTTGAAGCTCTTGCCATAGTGTCTTTTTTCGACTGTAGTGCTTACCTGTTCCCCGTGCACTCCGCCTCCTCCTCCCTGCTGACCTCCTGCTCCTTCAGCAGCTGTCTGCTCTCCCTCTGACTGCCCTCCACTTTGGCCGTGACGCCCTCCAGCTCCTCGTTCATCTCCTTCTTCTTCCACCTCAGCACAAGGTTACGCTCTTCCACCTCCTTCACATGCTGCTCCATTTCCGAAATCTCAACATTTAGGGTTTCCATCTTCTTCATTGCAGATCTAACATGTTTAAAGGAGGTGATAGAACATTTGAAACAAAGTACAAGTGTAAGTATGGGGCCAAGACAAAAGTTATTTTTGCACTGCCAGACTGCATATCTAATGAAACACCAGCGTGTGTGCATACATCTTTTACACACACCCTCCAGTACCCCTAAGCTTTGTGAATTTCAAATGACAAATCTCAGCTCTACTGGAAGACAGTTCTACTGCATCACTTGCAAGGCAAATATTAATGTGAAATAAACATAAAAGAGACTGCTGTGCCAGTGGATCCATTCTCTGGTGATGAAGGGGCTTTTGACTGCAGCTGCACTTGAAAACTAAAATTAATGACGTCTGGAGCATATGATTTTTTTCTTCATTTTATCAAATGACTTCTAAATTATTGAGAATAATTTCACTGTCGGTGCACATTTTTTCAGTTTGTCATTTGGAGTTAAGTGTGGCTAGAAAGATATATTACAAAACGAATGCTTCTTGCAGGATAGTTAATGAAGAAATGTACATTTATATATATTTTGTAAATGATTTGTTTTCTTGTTCCATATCTACAGTGGCCAATAGGTGCAAACCCGCTATAACGGCCCAAAACATTTCTATTGGGGGAATATAATCCTCAAATGTCAACAAGTGCTTTGGTCCCAGGTGTGTGCATCACTTTTTAGTGTCCCCGTTTCCGTTGTGTTTTGAGCCTTTTGAAGCTTTCTTTATTTGCAGTGATTATTATTATTATTACTATTACATGTAATTTGTTAGACGCTTTTATCCAAAGCGACTTACATACATTCAGTACTGTGGGCAATCCCCACAGGAGCAATTTGAAGTGAAGTGTCTTGCCCAGGGACTCTGATTCAAAGTCCAGCACACTATCCACTTAGCCACCCTGATTAGTTTATACACCACTTGTAGAAATTGTGTACATGTGTGGTCAAGTTGGTGAAGATTCTATTAGGAAAACTACAGTATGATAACTCGGGTTCGCGCTGTTCAATCCAGCTCCTTAGTGTATAGGAGATGAAGGGAAGGAGATGGATTATAGAAGGATTTAAACCAACTGACAGGAAGCAACTTCATTTTCAAAAGATGTTTCTGCTGTCTCTTCTTCTCCTCAGTGTATTCTCACTGAAGCACCCTTACTGGCTCATTTTTATTCCTTATGTTTGAAACATCATCCGTCCTTCTCTTCCCCATGAAGGATATTAAGAAGTACTTACTCCTTTTTAGATTGTTTCCGTTCAATCTCCTTTAAAACCTGCACAGGGATGCTGATGAGCCGCGCTCTCTCAGCCTTGTCAGACACACACAGAGAAAGAAATGTTGTTATGTTATTGATGGTGTGCTGTAAACACACACACACACACACACACACACACACACACACACACACACACACACACACACAACACACACACACACACACACACACACACACACACACACACACACACACACACACACACACACACACACACACACACACACACACACACACACACACACACACACACACACACACACACACACACACACACACACACACACACACACACACACACACCTCTTTGAGCTCTATGATCTCGGTCTTGTCTTCCAGCTCTTTCTGTTCTCTTAATATCTGCGTTTCGTGGATTTCCACATCTTCAGTCAGACTCCTTTGCATTAAGTGAGGGCACACACACACAAAAAGAACGCTTGTTATCTGAAGAATTTTGATTAGCAGCACTGTGTCTCATTACAAAAAGGACATTAAGTGAGTAGAACTGAGAAGATATAAAGAAGACAACATGGTTTAAATACCTGACTTCCAGTCGTCTCTCGGAAACCTCCTTCCTCAGATCCTCATGTTTTTCCTGCAGGACCTTTGTTCTGCTCTCCAGCTCCTGGAGGACCAGCCAGCAGTATGAATATTAATGTAACATCACATATGAAGAATATCTGGCGTATGATGACAATTTAATTGAGCTCAGGCTACAGGCTTGTTCTCATTTCTTAGCGTCTGATCATAACTCTGAGAGTCGGTTCCAACAGCCTTTGCGTCGCACGTGGATTTTGTTTTTTATAATGTCTAGATGAAAAATATATTTCTTCAGCTGTTTCCATGGGTAAGTAAATGTGCAGTGCTATATATTGTATTTAAGTTTGCTACCTTAGAAGGGGCCCTATTATTCTTTGGAGTTTTCCCTTCCTTGTAGTGTATTATAAAGGTTGTTGTGCATGTTAATGGTCTGCAAAGGCTAAAATTCCCGTGTTATCTCCAGAGGGAGTTTCGTGCCTGAAACGGCTCCATTGGACTCCTTTGTTTATTTCCGTAACATAATGTAATCATTATGTAACTTCTAATGAGCTCTAACACATTGTATGTGATAGATTAAGGGGCGGGACATCTCTAAGCGGTTGACCAATCACAACAGAGCCGGCTAGCTAACCAATCAGAGCAGACTGGGCTCTGGTTTTAGACAGAGGGTGAAAAGAGGTGCTGCAGCACAGACAGTATGAGAAAAATAAAGAACTGTTGAACATTAAAGAATGGAGACATGTCACAGTAGAGACACTACATACACTATATGAACCTGAAAATGAGCAGAATTGGGCCCCTTTAACGGTAATCATTTTCTGCACAAGAACGATTTGACGCTTAACATTGTTTAGAAATGTTTTCAAGTGAAGTATGAACATAAACAACTGCAGTTAAACCAGCTGTTACCAATTCAACTTGATAAATAAGACGCACTTTGACGCGAGTTTGTGGTTTTTCTCCAACATCCATCTGCTATACTGTCAAACAGCAAACTATTGCATGTAAGGGCCCTGTAATAAAACACATAGCTAATGAATCTAGTTTGACAAGTGTGTGTTACAGAGAGAGAAGACTGCAATTGTTTCATTAGAGTAAATATCACGCTTGTGTTGTAGGTCCAATAACAGCATGTTGTTTCAATAACAATGGGAGTCATAACAAGGCCCCTTACCTCTGTGACATTTACAGATTTAAATGACTAAACTGTCTTAGTAAAGGCAGCAGCCCCCATTATTCTATAGAGCAGCAGTTCCCAACCTGTGGGCGAACGCATTGCAAGTGGGCCGCCAAATAATTTGCAAAACATTATGATTTGTGTGGAAACATTTCATTATTAAGTTTTGTCTTTCATTTGAACCTCTTTTCCTTTTTATTTCTTGATCCTCCTTAGCAACGGTCATTACAGTCCTTGACAGCGGTCTGTACTACTGGATTAACAACGTGTCACATGTTCTGAATCGACCAATCAGAACTTTATTTAGCCTCCGTATTGTTTACGGTTGAATGTGGGCCGCGAAAAAAAATGTAGATTCTTATGTGGGCCCTGAGTTAAAAAAGGTTAGGAACCGCTGAGTATTGCTTGTATGAATATTATGGTGCTGTGCATGTGAAGTGCAATGCAATGTCCACTTTACATTGCCACTGGATAATTCATGTTGAGCATAAAAAAGCTGCAACTGCATAGGCGGAGTTTGACATTTGCGCTTGGGGGGGCAAACCTTTTTTACTGACGTCAGTACAGTCCCAACTATTGCGTGGGGTGCTACGGATACAGTAGCAATAAAGCCAGCGCTCACCGTACTGAGTATGACTTTTCCACATAGGAACACAACTCGTCTCGTCGTGCACGCCTCATGCCCGCCGTACACACACTCATATGGAAGGGGCGGTCTCTCCCCCCAACAACAGTGCATTACATAACTGTAAAACTTATCATAACTGTGCACATCTTATACTTATTTGATAACTACTATATCCCTTGGTTACTTGAACACGCTACAATATTATTAACCAGTGTCATACCTTATTAAAATATTGATAAACTAACATTTGTATTGGAACAGTTTTCGACGTAGTAATGCTGTAATGCAATGCCCCGCCCACGCAAAATATGCCTATGTGCAACTGGCTCCTCATAGAGAAGCAAACAGGCATGTGACACTGGGTCTGCAAGTGTGTTGTTGATGTATATTTACTTGCAATGCAACTCTTGGTAAGGTTGTTGTGGCCATTCCAGGTTTTAGGAATGCACTACATTTTATTCTCTTTTGTTTTTTCATGTTTTTCTTCACTAGGCTACATTTTATCGTGCTACCCTGTGTTGCAATAAATGATAATTTTATCCTTGATTCAGCTTAATTTATTTACATTTATTCCTGTTTGTTTGGTCTGTTAAAGGTCACCACTTAGCCACCTTGACTTAAGTGCATCCAGAGGCCTGCAAGCTGAATTTGAGCACATTTGGAAGGTTTTATTATGCGATCTTTAATTTACCAGTGGTAAAAAAGTATTACAAATTCAAAAAAAGGCTGTGAAATGTATTCTGCAAGCTTTACAAAGCTCACGATCAAATAATTTTGCCATTAGCAACAGCATTTTAAAGCAGCTTAATGATTGAACCTTGAGATTATAACCTAAAATGATTTGCTGAGTTTTGGTGCTGGTGATTCAACAGCTTCTGTATATGTGTTAGAAATGCTCAAACAGCAATGCATTGTGGTTCACTTCTGATCAACTAAATAATACACATAATTCAGTATTTATACGCCCTGCAGCCTACAACAGAGCACGGTAGAACAAGATATTTGGATTCTAGTTTGACACTGGAATGAAAGAATATTCTTACTTTTTACTGTGAATGTGTTGCTTTTGATATAACATGCAGATAATTGTGTATATTACAGCTGCAGCATTATTACTCGACATTCATTTATTTATTGATTGATCAGCAACTGTCCTACGTTTAAGTCATATATAATATAATATATAACGATAGTTGGTACTCAGATATTTCACTAATGTAATAGGAGAAGACTACATTGTAAAAATACTCCGTTACAAGTCCTGCATTCAAAATCTTACTTGAGTAAAAGTACAAAACTGGATTATGATTAATGGGCTTTACTCCAATAATACAATATACTATCACAGCTGGTAAAGTTGGAGCTCATTTAATAATATATATATGATTTATATCTTGTATTAGCTAATGTTTGAGAAAATACAAGTTGTCTCCTCTTTATGGGTTGTTTTAATGCACTGACACTATGTGTGACTCTGCACTGTGTACGACCTTGCAGCTGCCTCTTCTAATGATAGGAGGAGGCAGGGCATTTCAGGTTGATGATATTTATGAGAAGACACATACTTGTTGTCTCCTAAATATCTGACTTCTATGAGGCGTGAAGGAAGTACGTGACTCTTTCCAGAAGACGTCGCAGATGACCCCGACACCTTTCCAAGACCCGCGGATGATATTAGCGCCATCTAGATTTACGACTTTGTTGTTATCTCCGTGTTTTGGACTTTATAAGCCTGATGTTTTTTGCTGCTCCGTTGAGCACCATGTGTGTGAGTTAAACCATATCCTTTGTATGTGACTTAACTCGGCTCCTTCTTGCAAGAATACATTAGTACCTGATTATTGATTCTCAACCCGGTGTCGAGTGATACTTTCCTAACAGCTAATAATCTGAATCTATAAAGTACGGTGGCCGACAAACTAGCATGTTGCAGCGTTTTGTATTTGCAGTGTTATGTGTTTGCAGCGCTTTGGTTGGTCTGTTGCGCTTTTAGTAAACCCTGCGCATGTTTCGTGAAGTTGGTGAAGATGTAGCGCGTTTGCACCTGTTTGCCACCGTAATAAAGTAACTAGTAACTTAATTTCTAAAAAGAAATGGTGGCAATGTCAAAAGTACAATATTGGCTACTCAAGTAAAGTATACCTCAAAAATATACTCAAGTACAGTACTCAAGTAAATGTACTTTCCACCACTGAATATATCAGTTGCTTTTAGTACTAGCCATTAGTACTTCAATTGGTCTTCTTAAACAAAAACAAAAATCACCTCTCCAAGCGGAACAAGGATTAAAGCTTTTATAACTTGAATGCCATCATCTTGTCGGAATGGGAGATTAATCTATGGAATATTTTAGCTCCAAAAGGTACCACTAGTAATATTGAAGGATTAAGCCTGGATGGAGGCTTAAAGTAAAACTAATATATATCCTCCCTGTAAGACCAGTGTTGCAGCAGTAATCCACGTCTCTGAGAACACACCTGGATGGTGCAATGATGAACTTACTGCAGGTTCGGGCTGAAACTCATTCTCTTTCTGCAGATACCGCTTCTCTTCCCAGAGACTGCAACGGGGTGAGGGGAGGTGAAGAGCAGAGGAAGATGAGTTATTAAGTTGATGGAAAAAAGTAACATGTTTCAGTTCCTGAATAAACAGAAAGAGGAATGCATGAGAGAAACGACCACATTTATATATTTAAAGACACACTAGTGTGCAGTTTCATGCTAAATTCTTCTTAATTGAAGACGAAATTACAAAACAAAAGATTCATAGAAGTCAAAAGGTTCTAAAGTGTTCTATGAAACCTCTTTCTACGAGTAAATTAGACAAGCTATATGCTATTCGTTTGAAACACATATTTTAGTAGCGCGTCTGCACATCTCGGCCAACGGACGTAATGAATAATACAATTGTTTACAATTTTTCTCATGCATAAATATAAATAAGGCAGATGCTATTTACACCCAACCTAGTCTCACGGCATTTCGTGTTATAGTCACGAAATAAATGTAATCTATTGATTCGTGTTCACCAACACGATTTTCCCATTTTTTTCGTGTCACACAGAACGATTTTAAAAGCAATGTATTTCTATTGGTAGTGTGTTTCGTGCCTGCACCACGTCTTTTTGTCCGGTCGGGTCTTGGAAGTCCGGAAGCTGTGTGGTTCATAAAAACATGCTCTTACTCAATATCAAGCCACGATTATTGTTTTTATTTTAAATTGTATAATGTCAGACTTGTTTTGCCGTCCGCGAGGAAAAGAAATGGGGCTCAGAGCCTCAGAATACTGAAATCTGTATTTTTAAAATATTTTTTTCCTTCTAATTTGTTATTATTTACATATCTTTTAAAATCGTTCTGTGTGACACGAAAAAAAAATGAAAATCATGTTGGTGTGGTGAACATGAAACAATAGATTCATTTTGTGACTATAACACGAAATGCTGTGAGACTGGGTTGTTACACCCGGGTGTCTGTAGCTAAAAATGCTATTCTAATAGCATTGTTAGCGACAGACACCCGGGTGTAAATAGCATTGTTAGCTACGGACACCCGGGTGTATATAGCATTGTTAGCTACGGACACCCGGGTGTAAATAGCATTGTTAGCTACGGACACCCGGGTGTAAATAGCATTGTTAGCTACGGACACCCGAGTGTAAATAGCATTGTTAGCTACGGACACCCGGGTGTAAATAGCATTGTTCGCTACGGACACCCGGGTGTAAATAGCATTGTTAGCTACGGATACCCGGATGTAAATAGCATTGTTAGCTCCAGACAACCGGGTGCAAATAGCATCTGCCTATAAATAATCATAAATGACAAGGAATACATCTGCATGGTCAAAATATTTACATTTATCCCTGCGGCAGCCGGCCCTATACATCCATGCAGCCGGCAGACACTTTTTTTAGGCAGTTGATTGCAATTTGTATGGAAATATTTATTGTGAAAAACCTTACAATAGCACATAGTGTACAGCTATACACGTATCACAAAGTGTGCAATATTAATCTTCCTGACAAGTTGATTTATTGGATATTAACTGATGTACAGAGAAAGTTGCATGAATGCTAAAATATGTGACTGGAAAAGTGCTGAATTCCTGAGTATCTGTTTGGCTTAAGATAAAGGACGATAAGATTTTTAAAGGCATATTTGCATGGCGAGCATCTGCTGGTCATATGCGAATCGCTGGCCATTTGGACAGAAGAGAAGAAAGTGAAAAAGAAGAGAAGGAAAGGGGGTAAGATGATGAGAGGGCAAGAGAGTTCACCACCAAACGCTGTCACGAATAATATGCACACTCACTCGTCTAATCCTGTCTATTATTGCCTCCTCCGAGGACGCTCTGTAAATAGTTTCATTTAATATTTCAATTACCGCTGGGCCTTCAACTCTCTGCTTCAGTGTGTGTGCTCTGCACTAAAATTCCCGTTATCATACAGATCATATCTTTGCAATACTGTGAGGGGTTTGTTGGGCTTTGAGGGCTTTAATATTGCAGAAGTAATCCAGGCAACGCACAGATAAGAAAAATAGATCTGCTTAGATGTAAATTAGGCTGTTGCGTAAATAAGGAGCATTTCGAATATTAGGGTTCAACTATTTTTAGGGCTCACACTTGCTTCTTCAACTTCCATGCAAATTGCTTCCATTGCTACACATAAACTGATAGTTAAAGAGGATATATCCTGTTCATTTTCAGGTTCATATTTCAATTTTATACCTCTACTGTGATATGTTTACATGTTTTAATGTTCAAGAAGCTCTTTATTTGTCTCATACTGCCTCTGCTGCAGCACCTGGCTCTGTTGTGATTGGTCAACTGCTTAGAGATGTCCCGCCCCATCACGTACAATGTGTTGGAGCGCTAGCCAATAGAAGCGCGAGTGTTACATAGTGATGAACTAGGTTACAGAAGTAAACATTTAAAAAAAGCTTTATATGTTTATACCAACTGCTCTTTAACATTTAATATATTTAGAAACTTTGTACCAACAATTTTTGTGCAGCACGCTTTTATGATACTCTCACAGGCCTGTTGAAATTGACTTGAGAATCCAAGAAGTCAAAATTGCTCTATTAGTTTTTAACGAGGGCTTCGAGTGTCAGAAGCCCAACTGTTTGGGAACCACTCGTGCATGTTATCGTGTTGCTTAGCAATGTTCCAGTAACCTCCCTTTGGCCCTTTTAAAAGTCGGGGTTGTGTACAGAAAAGAGAGATATACTCAGGTCCATTTGTTATTTTCCGTTTCTGTGGGTGTGTTTGACCCTTTGGTCGCACTGATAGCCTTGTTGAGTGAGTAAGGGGAAGGCAAAGATAAACCTGCAGCAGAAAAGAGGAAAGAAAAAGGTTATGATGAGAGGAGAGACTCATGGGAGTTGAAGGAAAGGATGAGAGGAAAGGAACAGAGACAGATCCAGCAGGACTAGTGTGGAAAAAACGTACCAGTGTGAGAGCTCAGACAAGTAAACACATTCATCCACATAAAACTAAAAAAATCCTGGTATGTGAATCAAGCTTTGTGTACTTGAGTTTGTCCTAAATCTGCTGTAAAAAGAGAAACAACATTAAGGACACACATACACACACACACACACACACACACACAACCACACACATATACCATGTATACATCACTTCAGGGGACATTACATTGACTTACATGCATTTCCTGGAGACTTATCCTAACCTTAACCATAACCAACACATGCCTAACCCTAAACCTAACCAAGTCTTCAACCTAAAATGAATGATTCCCCTCATGGGGACCTCCAATTTTTCCCCATAAGGGAGGCGAGTCCCCACACTTGACTGTGTAAACAGATTTAGGTCCCCACAAGTATAGTAATGCTAGGCCACACACACACACACACACACACACACACACACACACACACACACACACACACACACACACACACACACACACACACACACACACACACACACACACACACACACACACACACACACACACACACACACACACACACACACACACACACACACACACACCACACACACACACACACACACACACACACACACACACACACACACACACACACACACACACACACACACACACACACACACACACACACACACACACACACACACAATACCATTGCAAGTTGTGTCTCTTTCACCTTCACCTCCCTGTAAAGTCAATGCAAGCATCCTCCTGCTTCTCTTTTCCACCACACTGGTTTCACTTCTGTGTTTTGTCAAGTCAAATAAAATGTTTTACCTGACATTTGGTTTCAATGTCGTACCGAAAATGAAACTTGCAGCATGAGCGATTGCAGTAATAGTGTGTGTACGTGTATGCATACACACACACTGCTCACCATCTGAGACGGTGCTGTGTCTTGTACTCTCTGTCCTCAGCAGCTTTCAGTTCATTGCATGCCTGCAGGAGGTGTTGCCTCAGTTCATTGACCTCACTTTCAGGCTGCTCAGAGGTGCTCTGCTCCTCGGCTCTCTCCAGCCCGGCCTGCAGCCTCTGAAGCTCCGCACGACATCGCTTTGCCTCTCCCAAAACGTGGAGCTCGGAATCCTGGGAACTATTAGATTAAACAGATTATTTAAGTAGTAAAGAAGTACCATGTGGAACGTTTCTTCTAATGTGTTTTGGGACGTTACCCCTGTCGGCCACCGTAACAAAACACTGGTAAAACAGATTAAATCAATGTTACGTCTTTATTTATACATGAACAATTACGTCTCAAAACATATTTCTTCACACTGGCTTATCCACCCTGATCACATCACACATCCTCTGCTTTTCTGTTCTTATTGATTGATTATATTGTCGTTGTTTTTTGGACTGTTGTTTTGTTTTGTGTACGGCGACCTTGAGAGCCTTGAAAGGCGCCTTTATAAATAAAATGTATGTTTATTATTATTATTATTACATGAGAACAAGACCTTGTAAGTCATGATACTTGAGGAAAACTAACCAACCATTATAAATGAATCCATTAAGACATTAGTTTCATGGCAAATCATAAAACAACACAACTACTTGTCTGAATCCAATTTCTCAGAATAGCTTTGTTACAAATTTCGATTGGTTTCTTATTTTCCCAAGAAATCACACAGAGATTTGTTGTTTCCACAAGAAATTGGGGTCTCAAATGTTCATTTCACTTCGTCTTTATGTGCCTTTGTAGCGACTCTGAGAATCAGTGTTTCATTAGGGATTTGATTAAGCTTAAGAAAGAAGTGTGTTTTGGAGTGTTTCCCTACTACATAAGTCGTGCTTTAATAATGCAAGGGGGCAATATTATATATTCTTTTAATAAGGAAATGACAGATGATACATTATTGTACGCTAATGCAAAGCCACATTCCGTGCATCGACTTAACAAGCACTGCCTATTAGCCTTTTTACCCTTGGTTGTGAATAAATGTGAATTTATCAGTTATATGATCAGCCATGAGAGGCAGATAATTATCTGTTATCTGCTGAACAAAATCCATATCATGCATTCATAGCGATACTGTCTCAGACCTGTATAACCTTGCGTTCCACTTTTTGCTCAAATAAGGACTTCTGGCTAGACTATACCTTGAGTGAAAGGTGACCCCAATCATAATGTCCCTTCAGAAGCCAGCGTCTTGTCACAGATGCTATTCCCACTCTTTATTAACAGTAAAAAACAACTGATAGGGATTTAAGACTTCTTCAAGGACACTTCAGAGGGAAAGATTCTGGCTCTCAGAAGATTTAAATCGTCTTTTTGCTGCATTTTCAGAAGCTTTGTAGTCATAATGCACCTCCGAAATATAACACACAAATCAGCAACTTCTTCCAAAATGTAACACACAAAATTCACTCAAGCACAAAACGTACCTCTTGAGAGTTTCACAGATTAGCCTGTAGCTGGATTTCAGTTTGGCGGCTTTGTTCTGGCTGATTTTGCCCAATGACAAGAACTGTGGAGCAAGAAAACAGAAATATTAGAAATCAAGGACATGAAAAAAACAGTTTGTAAAGAGGAATTTGAGGTTAATTGATTATTTAAGGTTGATAGTAGAGATTGTTGGATTTTTGCCGATATCTGATTTGCTGAAATGTTCCAACTTTTTGTGTTGTTCTTTATGTGTACAGTATGAGTATTGTTTAGAGAATGTTTCTCAAATTAAATAATATATTACCCGAATGACTTCGTTAAAAACAGTCCATTATGTGGCTGTAAAATCCTTAAAATTGTAAAAAGAAGCCACAACTTAATAATAAGCTCAATCTTTGCTGCACATTTCACCTAAATACACTAAATATAAGCATCTTCAGTCCTTAGCGAAACAAATAGAACCCACCTTAAAGTCTAATAAATGCTTAATCAATGGTTTGGATCACACACGCAAAGCACCAATATATCAACCAATGTTACACATGCAAATCTGATGTCAGTATTTCATTGAAGAGCCTTTATAAGTGGATACCAAACATGTGTCAATATTCGATTGCAACACAGTCTCACGGCATTTCGTGTTATAGTCACAAAATGAATCTATTGATTCGTGTTCACCAACACGATTTCCCCATTTTTTTCGTGTCACACAGAACGATTTTAAAAGCAATGTATTTCTATTGGTAGTATGTTTCGTGCCTGCACCAAATAATAACAAATTAGAAGGAAAAAAAGATTTAAAAAATACAGATTTCAGTATTCTGAGGCTCTGAGCCATTTCTTTTCCTCGCGGACGGCAAAAAAACTCCGACATTATACAGTTTAAAATAAAAGGGATAGGGTTAGGCTTAGGGTAAGATATTGAGTAAGAAAATGTTTTTATGAACCACACAGCTTCTGGTCTTCCAAGACCCGACCGGACAAAAAGACGTGGTGCAGGCACGAAACATACTACCAATAGAAAATACATTGCTTTTAAAATCGTTTTGAGTGACACGAAAAAAATGCGAAAATCGTGTTGGTGAACACGAATCAATAGATTAAATTAATTTCGTGACTATAACACGAAATGCCGTGAGACTGGGTTGCAATATTATCATGCATCCCTTATCAATTGCAGCTTTTAAGCGTGTAGCAAAGAATTCCAAACTCCTATCAGCATACGATTATGTTTCTCAAACCTCCCCCAGTGTCAATCATCCACAGCTGAACAGTGGAGCTGCAGCCAAATATTACAGCAGTCCTAAACTGTTTGGCTGCATTCAGCTAGAAGTTGGCAACAAGTCCTCCTGCATGCGTCTGCCAGCTCATGTTGCACCATTTCAAAGTCTTTGATCTGACCTAGGGCTCCCTTTATAACAGCCATCACATTAATAGAAACACTATATCACAATCTGTGGAAATGCCTTGCCTTTCTTTCAGACGGAATATTCAATAGGACCATATTGCTTTGAACCAGAAGTGTGCAGGCACTTTTATAATATTGTTTAGGGACTAAATTAAGTTCCAGAAGTTGGAAACTAAATCACCAGAGACCCTAAAAGAGTTAAAAATATCATAAAAGTCAGATCTTTGCTTTATTTCTGCTGTAATATGCTCAAACTTTATGGTTACTGTTGTAAGAAAAATATCTTTAATATCTGCCTGGACTCAAAGTGTGGTCGACTGCCGCAAAGCCCAACTCCCCTTAGGGTGTCTGGCTGAATAAACCTTAATCCAGATATAACAGCATCAGAACACCATATCACCGTCAGCATGAAAAACAAACCCCTAACCATCTGCAATCAGAAAAGGAGAGGAGAAATCATTGAGAATATAAGGATAACTTATGTAGATTACAGGTACCATTAACCCTGGATGAGTTTAAGAAGTCGATAAAAAAAGATACACAGCTGTGAAACCTTGGCAAAAACACGGCACGGAGAAGGATATCAGGTCAACAAAAAAGGGAAAATGATCACTAAGAGCCGTTGTTAAATGACTCCCTGTGGCAACGTGGCTCTGTGTGTGTAAACAGTGATAGAAACAGAGGGGCCGGTGTTGTTCCCTCTTATCTCCGGAGCCAGGTTGGTAGAGCGGGGCGTAATGAGGGATAGCCTTGTCTCAGCTGCAGGACTGAGGATATCTCAGGTCGGACTGTGTAGCAGGTAATCTAACGGCAATGAACACACACAAACACACACGGGAGCCGATAACTCAGCCCGACTTCAAACATTAGGGGAGAGCCGATTATGTGTTTAGATTCATTCCATTATATTGTTTATCTGGCTGCTGTCAAATGTGCTCGCAAACCTCTGGACCACGTTCCAAGGGCTGAAAGGACAGAGATATGAATGTTGTGGATCATGTAGATTAGGGCTCCCGTTAATATGATGTATTCAGATGTTTTTCCGTCAGTTTGCATTAGAAGCCACCCAAGGTCACGCTAATACAACACCTGAGAAGCTGTACACAATCTGTGTTTCAGACATTTTTAGTATGGTTAAATCTCCCACTCTTGTATTTTGAATTGATCTCTTTAAAAGGAGACTTATTTTACACATTTTCAGGTAAATGTTTATATTTTTTGCCTCTACCGTGACATGTTCCCATGCTTTAATGTTCAAAAAGCTCTTTATTTGTCTCATACGGCAGCATCTCTTTTCACCCTCTGTCTGAAACCAGAGCCCAGTCTGCTCTGATTGGTTAGCTGGCCGGCTCTGTTGTGATTGGTCAACCGCGTAGAGATGTGTCGAGAAAGCCTCGCCCCTTAGCCTATCACGTATCAATGTGTTAAAGCGTGAGCTATTAGAAGCGCCAATGTTACATAGTGATGTCACTATGTTACAGTAGTAAATGAAGGAGTCCAATGGAGATGTTTCAGGCAGGGGGGAAACTCCCTGTTGAGGGAACTTTGGGATTGTAGCCTTTGCAGACCATTTACATGCACACACACTTATATAAACAACTACAAGAAAGGGAAAATCCCCCCCAAAAAACATAAAAGGGTAGCTCAGTATATTATGAGAAAATGCTAAAATATTTCACTGTTGACATCTTTCAAACATAACTTAAATATGGACATATCAGCCTAGCAACAGACATGCTAGCCATACACTGGGCATTTATCTGAGAGAAGCAGCCTGAAGCGCTTTCAGCCAGCCTTTCCAATTCCGCTGCCAAGACTTATCTTCAGCAGTATGGGGTATTGGAAGCTTTTATGGGGAGGCTGAATACGGCTCACATGTGGCACAGCATCTTTGAAGTGAGATAGAGACAATCACTGGAAGATATTTATGCCGCCACATACACATACCTGTCCGTCTATTCCCCCGGGCATGTGATGTGTACTGCAGTGCAGAGAAGCAATAAACCGTTGCAGTAATGTGGGTGCTGCAGGTCTGTGAAGTGTATAACAAAAAAGGAACCTGCAGGCTTTAATAGTCTGCACCCCCAGGGAGGGAAATAATGACCGCAGGGCACACCACTGTGTAATGGAGAGAGCCACCATCGCTCTCTGTGTGTATCTTCTACCTTCATGTCCTTATATCGACTGTTTGAACTGGAGCTGGGCCTGCAGCTCGATTCAATCACTTTGTTGCTGGAAGTTTTGTGCTGTAATATTTTCCCTTCTGCACCATTACTCCATCGAGGCTGAGAGCCATTTCTGTAGAGGGAATCAATTACCCGAAACGGTGTCACTTCTCCAGAAATACGACATGTGCATGAAACCTGAATGAACCAAGAAAGATAAATTCCAATTACACGATCTGTGGTTGGGAATCATGTTATGTACCACTGGCACACTAGTCAAGTCCCAAATACCAAATAAAGAATGCTAAGTTAGATAATAAAAGGGCTATCCATTTTTTTAACGCCATTAATTATTTTAACGTGCGATTAACGCATGTGTATTTGTCCTCGGCCCGGCTCGTAGTTTCAGAGCCCAAAGGCTTGACATTGTTGTTGTTAGTTGGATGTTGGGAGATTCTAGCGAGAGATATGGATACAAGGTGTTTTAAACAGCAAGCCAAGCACGCAGCTGATGCTGACAGTTGCCGGGGAGACGCCTAGACAACAACAGCGATAGCTAAATGGGTGGCTACAGCTTAACATTATGGAGGACGAGGGGTTGCGTTAGATAATTTGGATCGCATCCAACGTGTCGACTGCACATCACAGCGCATTATTTTGACCCACAGTGGGAACTTCAGTCTCATGCTTTGACTGTTATGACTGCGTGCTAATAGAACCATCCTTCGGGCAGCAGAGCGGAAACGGTGGAAATCCAAACACCATGACGACCTCCTAACCTATCAGGCTCTCCTCTTTCTCTGCTTCGATCTCTCAGGCAAAAAGCACTTTCTTTCAAGATAAGATCCAATCTTCCTATTCCAAAACACTATTTTCCATCTTTGGGGGGGGGGGTCTTCTTTTTCTGACTCACCTTTACTCACCGCTGGGTCACCAGACCCTCCCTTCACCCACACACTAACCTCCTTCTCCCCTCTCTCTCCTAGTGAGGTTCTTACCCTCATTACTTCTGCCCGCCCTACCACCTGTCCTCTGGACCCTATCCCTTCAAACCTCCTTCAGACTATCGCTCCTGATATTCTACCGTTTCTCACCCATTTAATCAACACTTCTCTAACTTCTGGTCACTTTCCAAACAGTCTCAAGGAGGCAAGAGTAAACCCTCTCCTAAAGAAACCCACTCTCAACCCGTCTGATGTTATAAACTACAGGCCTGTCTCTCTCCTCCCATTCCTGTCTAAAACGCTTTAACGCGCTGTCTTTAAACAACTCTCCTGTTATCTCCATCAGAACAACCTTCTGGATCCGCACCAGTCTGGTTTCAAGGCAGGTCACTCCACAGAAACTGCCCTCCTTGCTGTCACGGAGGAACTGCACACTGCCAAAACTGCATCCCTCTCCTCTGTCATCATCCTTTTGGACCCGTCTGCTGCATTCGACACGGTGAATCATCAGATCCTCCTTCGCACTCTCCAAGAACTTGGAGTTTCAGGCTCTGCACTTTCCCTC